ATACTTTCCTCTAGAGACTGCTTTAAATGTGTCCCAGAGGTTCTGGCATGTTGTGTCTTCGTTCTCATTGGTTTCGAAGAACTTCTTTATTTCTGCCTTCATTTCATTGTTTACCCAGTCAACATTCATGACCCAGTTGTTCAGTTTCCATGAAGCTGTGCGGTTCTGGGTGGGTTTCTGAATTCTGAGTTCTAACTTGATTGCACTATGGTCTGAGAGGCTGTTTGTTATGATTTCAGTTGTTTTGCATTTGTTGAGCAGTGCTTTACTTCCAATTATGTGGTCAATTTTAGAGTAGGTGTGATGTGGTGCTGAGAAGAATGTGTATTCTGTGGATTTGGGGTGGAGAGTTCTGTAAATGTCCACCAGCTTTGCTTGCTCCAGGTCTGAGTTCAAGCCCTGGATATCCTTGTTGATTTTCTGTCTGGTTGATCTGTCTAGTATTGACAGTGGAGTGTTAAAGTCTCCCACTATTATTGTGTGGGAGTCTAAGTCCTTTTGTAAGACTTTAAGAACTTGCCTAATGTATCTGGGTGCTCCTGCATTGGGTCCATATATGTTTAGGATCGTTAGCTCTTCTTATTGTATTGATCCTTTTACCATTATGTAATGGCCTTCTTTGTCTCTTTTGATCTTTGTTGCTTTAAAGTCTATTTAATCAGAGATGAGAATTGCAACTCCTGCTTTTTTTTGCTTTCCATTAGCTTGGTAAATCTTCCTCCATCCCTTTATTTTGAGCCTTTGTGTATCCTTACATGTGAGATGGGTTTCCTGGATACAGCACACTGATGGGTTTTGGATTTTTATCCAATTTGCCAGTCTGTGTCTTTTGATTGGTGCATTTAGTCCATTTACAATTAGGGTTAATATTGTTATGTGTGAATTTGATACTGCCATTTTGATGCTAAGTGGCTGTTTTGCCTGTTAGTTGTTGTAGATTCTTCATTATGTTGAAGCTCTTTAGCATTCAGTGTGATTTTGGAATGGCTGGTACTGGTTGATCCTTTCTATGTGTAGTGCCTCTTTTAGGAGCTCTTGTAAAGCAGGCCTGGTGGTGACAAAATCTCTGAGTACTTGCTTGTTCGCAAAGGATTTTATTTTTCCTTCACTTCTGAAGCTCAGTTTGGCTGGATATGAAATTCTGGGTTGAAAGTTCTTTTCTTTAAGGATGTTGAATATTGGCCCCCACTCTCTTCTGGCTTGTAGTGTTTCTGCTGAGAGATCTGCTGTGAGTCTGATGGGCTTCCCTTTGTGGGTGACCTGACCTTTCTCTCTGGCTGTCCTTAGTATTCTCTCCTTTATTCCAACCCTGTTGAATCTGACGATTATGTGCCTTGGGGTTGCTCTTCTTGCGGAATATCTTTGTGGTGTTCTCTGTATTTCCTGCAATTGAGTGTTGGCCTGTCTTGCTAGCTGGGGGAAATTTTCCTGGATGATGTCCTGAAGAGTATTTTCCAGCTTGGATTCATTCTCTTCGTCCCCTTCTGGTACACCTATCAAACGTAGGTTAGGTCTTTTCACATAGTCCCACATTTCTTGGAGACTTTGTTCATCCCTTTTTGCGCTTTTTTCTCTGATCTTGGTTTCTCGTTTTATTTCATTGAGTTGGTCTTTGACTTCAGATATTCTTTCTTCTGCTTGGTCAATTCGGCTATTGAAACTTGTGTTTGCTTCGCGAAGTTCTCGTATTGTGTTTTTCAGCTCCTTTAATTCATTCATATTCCTCTCTAAGTTATCCTTTCTTGTTATCATTTCCTCGAATCTTTTTTCAAGGTTCTTAGTTTCTTTGCATTGATTTAATACATGATCTTTTAGCTCACAAAAGTTTCTCATTATTCATCTTCTGAAGTCTAATTCCGTCATTTCCTCACAGTCATTCTCCGTCCAGCTTTGTTCCCTTGCTGGTGAGGAGTTTTGGTCCTTTCTAGGAGGCAAGGTGTTCTGGTTTCAGGTGTTTTCCTCCTTTTTGCGCTGGTTTCTTCCCATCTTTGTGGATTTGTCCGCTGGTCGTCTGCGTAGTTGCTGACTTTTCGATTGGGTCTCTGAGTGGACACCCAGAGTGTTGATGATGAAGTATTTCTTTTGCTTGGTTTTCCTTCTACCAGTCTATCCCCTTCGCTGTACGACTGCTGAGGTCCGCTCCAGACCCTGCTTGTGTGGGGTGCACCTCTAGCATCTGTGGCACAGCGTGGGATGCTACCAGTTTCTTTTTCTGCTATCTTTGTCCCAGGATGATGCCTGCCTAATGTCAGTCTTTTGGATATAGAGGGGTCAGGGAGCTGCTTGAGGAGACAGTTTGTACTTTGTAGGGGCTTAATTGCTGAGCTGTGTGCTCTGTTGTTCATTCAGGGCTGTTAGGCTGCTATGTTTGATTCTGCTGCAACAGAGCTCATTAAAAAAAACCCTTTTTTTCTCAAATGCTCTGTGTTGGGGGGTTCAGGCTTTATTTTTCGAAGTCCGATGAGGTGTCCTGCCCAGCTAGAAGGCAGACTAGCCACTGTTTGGCTGCCAAGGCTCTGCCCTGCTGTTGTGTGATTCGCCCTGTTCCTGCAGTCTCTGCTGTGGTCTCCGCCACGCCCTGCAGCGGAGTCTCTTCATTGTAGCGTGTTGCCTTAGCAACGGCAGGCTGCGTCAGCAGTGGGCGTGTATCTCAGTAGGGACAGGTTGCCTCGGCCACGGCTGACTGCGTCAGCAGTGGGCGTGTATCTCAGTTGGGGCAGGTTGCCTCGGCCACGGCTGACTGCGTCAGCAGTGGGCGTGTATCTCAGTTGGGGTGGGTTGCCTCCGTAGTGGTGGACGCCCCTCCCCCACAGAGCGTCTCGGACCGTCTGCTTGGGATAGTTTGAAATTGTGGTTTTGTTCGTCCCACTGGGTATCCCAAACGATCTGTTCCTGCAATCCCCTAGGCTGGCCTACGGTCCAAGTCTCGTTAAGTCTCAAGTCCAGCCCTCTCAAGTCTCAGGTTGCCGGTTCAACAGGGCACCCGGACAGGCGCGCCCTGTGGGGATTGCTGGGTAGGGCCGGCCGCTGCCGCCCCGGCTGCCGGCTTCGCCAGGCAGACCTACTACCTGGCGTTTCATGTCTTTTTTATACTTGGGAGTTTCCCCGTTCTGTGGGCAACAAAGATCAGTCTGGAAATGCAGCTCTGACTCACCGTTTGCAGATTCAACGCGAGCTCCAATCCTGGTTGTTCTCACAGCGCCATCTTAAGTCCCCCATAAAATTGATTTAAAACTTCCTATGCCACTTAATTAAATATGGAAAACTAAATACTATGAAATCTATATTTCTTTTAAGGGAGACATCTGATAGCTGAGGGCTCTTTAATTCTTATCCAATGAAGTTTGAACTGAATACCATCTTTTCCTATTGAATATCAGCATATCCAATATAGGCATTTCACTTAATATTGTCTGAGAGAAATTATTTAGCAACTGAATATGGGATGAAATGGTGAGTAGGAAAACTATATATATATATATATATATATATATATGTATATAAAGTTTTTTTTTTTTTTTTTGAGATGGAGTCTTGCTCTTGTTATCCAGGCTGGAGTGCAATGGCACGATCTTGGCTCACCACAACCTCCGCCTCCTGGGTTCAGGCAATTCTCCTGCCTCAGCCTCCTGAGTAGCTGGGATTACAGGCACGCACCACCATGCCAGCCAATTTTTTGTATTTTTAGTAGAGACGGGGTTTTACCATGTTGACCAGGATGGTCTCGATCTCTTGACCTCATGATCCACCCACCTCAACCTCCTAAAGTGCTGGGATTACAGGCTTGAGCCACCACGCCCAGCCAAAAATTATATTTAAGGAATATAGCCAGGAGATTGAATTAGCCTTGCCTATAAGATAGAAGGAAAGATGGGTTTTCAAGATCACGTGGGAGAAAAATCACTGAGTTTCTAAAACGATCATTATTACTGTCAAGTAAATCTAGCCATCCCCCAACTGCAGTGAAAAGCAAGCAGTGACTTGATCCTCAGTGCCTCGGAACAGCTCCCGAGTTTAGCCACAGCTCCTACGATCTATTGTCATGATCCTTCTAAATCCTACAGAGCTCTTTTAATTATACTAACACTTGTTTGAGAACGTGTAAACATTCAGCCCTTTTAAACATTCTTATTTAATTTCTCACTTTTTTGTATTTAACTAATTTTATAATTTCTACTATTTATTCTTTGGTTTTCAGAGCCATTTCTCTACTGAACAAGATGGTCTCTAAACTAAGTGTTGTTTCTGAATACCAATTCGTGAAGATAGTTTTCAGAAGGGAAATTGCAGCTAAGTGAAGCACTGATAATTTGTCAACCTGGTTACTTTTTACAGCATGACTTGACCAGGATCTGCAATTAAATACCCAAGAGAGAGGATTAAAAATAGGATGGGTTTCAGTATCAGAAAGTGAATGCTTGAAGTGTCTTTCCTGTCCTTTTCATTCAATTTATCACACACACTGGCACTACAATTTCTGCAAATGAGTAATGTTTCCTCTAGGGCTTCCAGATTTAAATGGAACCAAAAGGGCTGAGTTCTTCTGGCTGGATCATTCTATATATTTGTGAATTGTAATTTCAATGCAAATCATAATTATTGGCCTAGCAATAGCATATACTGTATCCCTCAAATGAAAACAAGAACTGGAAAGTTTTGCCCCTTTTGTATATCTTGGTACAAGATATATAAATCATGTCACCATGGTCCCATGTTTGACAAGCTATTAACATCTCATTTGTTCTTACTGTTTTATTCATAGGTAAGCAAGCACTATCATAAAAGTCAGGTGAGTTTTACAGAACATATTTCTGCATTGATAATATTTTCCCAATAAAATAAATTTAAATATAGATATAATTATATTATACCTATAATATAGCAAAAGTATCACTAGTGTTAATATGTAAATGGTGGTATAAGGGTATTATTATAATGATATTAATAGCATTAAATAGAATTCATAATATAATAATATTTAAGTGGTTTTAATATTAAAATGGTTTTAAATTTTCTTATCAATTGCAAGGCTTTGACTTTCTGAGAGGGTTGATAAGAATTATAGTTCCATTGACTTCATCACTTAAGTGTGTGATTTGAGTTGAGTGCAGGGAGAATGGGTTATAGTTTTTTTTCTTTTGAGATAGAGTCTTTGTCCTTGTAGCCCAAGCTGGAGTGGAGCAGTGACACAATCTTGGCTCACTGCAAACCCTGCCTTCTGGGTTCAAGCAATTCTTCTGCCTGAGCCCCCCAAATAGCTGTGATTACAGGCATGCACAACCATGCCTGGCTAATTTTTGTATTTTTAGCAAATGAGGTTTCACCTTGTTGGCCAGGCTGGTCTCAAACTCTGTATCTTAGGTGATCCACCTACTTTGGTGTTCCAAAGTGCTGGGATTGCAGGCATGAGCCACTGTGCCCAGCCCAAGTTATTGAATCTTAAAGCTGCACAGAGCTCTCAGATTATCTGGTCCAGTGTCTTTCAGATTTGTGAACCACAAATACAGTTTGTGTGTGTGTTCATATATATCTGAAACAGAGTCTCTGAAAGAGTGCTTATTCATGTTTTTCTATTAAATTTGATTTTGTTCTATTCTATTCTTCATTTTTCTAATTCATTTTTTGAAATGCCAAACAGGACTCGCTAATAGTCATGACTGGTGGTTGGAGAAACACGGACCTAGGCTAGCAGCTGTGTTTTACAGATGGGAAATCTGGAGTCTGGCAACACAAGTTTGTCTAAGGTCAAAAAGCTCATTAGCTGCTAAAAGGAGGGGACTTTTAAAAACACATGTGGAATTTCAAATTCAAGTCATTTAGCATTTGGTGCTTACCAAATGATTTATGGCTAGTCCAGAAAGCACTTTCAAATTGCACTATCGGAAATCAGGGAGCAATCAGCACCCATTACTACTGTGCATGCGCACAGGCACACTTATTCCCTCTGCTACTGGGCCCTGTGACACAACAGGCTAAAGGCTGAATTGGAATATAGATACACCTATTTCTTTGCACAATTTCTTTCTGCTTTTGTCATCCAAGGGCAGAGCTGAAGAGCCATGACAAAGATAGTATGTGCAGCTTTAAGATTCAGTAACTTGGACTGGGCATGGTGAATGGCTCATGCCTGTAATTCCAGCACTTTGGGACGCCGAGGCAGGCAGATCACCTAAGGTCCGAAGTTCGAGACCAGCCTGGCCAACATGGTGAAACCCTGTCTCTGCTGAAATATTTACTTTCTGGCCTTTTACATAAAAATTTTGCCAACTTCTGGGAATTATCCAATAATGAATGTAAAGCGCTTATAATTTGTGACACGTGATAAATATCCAAAGAAGAGTAGCTCTTTTTATTTTAAAGTGGTAATGGCAATTAAGAGGACAAGAATTATTTTGATTATGCTAGTGATGAGAGAAATAATAAATTGTGATGGTGTTAATGGTAATGGTAATGACAACATTAGCAATAACAACCATAACTTATTTGGCTACCAGCTTTGAATTCCTTTATCTTATTTTAGAAGCCACTCCTGATATTTCCTAGGCTTTTTCTTTTCCCTGGTATCAAAATTCATTTTCAGGGAAAAATCTGAACCTTGCTATAAGATTTAGAAAAAAAGAAGCTCTAGATGTTGAGGTTTAATTGGCAGGTATGAGAGGTATTTTGAGAGAAAACTCAGATCTTCTCCTCGTCTGTTTTTGCATAAAGCAGCCTCAGTCTCCATAGTGGTATTTTATTCTGGACAACTCCTTGGCAAATACTTGTGGAGTATTCATAAGGGATTTCTGTTTCTTCCTGAGATCATACCATCAGCACTGTCAGAAGAATTTACTCATGTGGGGCTTGATGGTGAGTCCTGGTGGTTTTCCTGGATCCCACAAGTGTCCTGGGAAAACGTATTTGTCTTGTTTCTTACTCTTTCTTTTTAATTTACAAAGCTAAAAAGAAGAAAGACATTCTTGTTTTGTACCTTTAATTTCTGAACTACACTAAAGTTTCCTAAATTTTGGAGAATTTGCTATGTCTATGGCTTAAAAAATATAACTCTCATTGTGGCTACCCACAGACCCCAAATGTGTCTTAAAGTAAATTAGACTCACTCAGAAACTTAGCATCTGTTTCTTCTCTCAGTTATAAATTCACAAATAGGATCTGTTTCTCCCTTTAAAGTGGTTTCCCTAGCAACTAAACCACCCTTATATGATCAGAGCAGTTTGTCACTTTTGAAGTTTGACTTTCTGACAAGGCCTTCTGGCTCAGGGAGACGAAGAAAACAACCTCCAAACACAAACATTTCAAAAACACTCAAGCGATGAATTACAAATGAACTACATTGGGTGACTTTTCTGTAGATTGCGTGTCAGCCATCATCACCACCACGCTCCATAGCCAACCAGCAAAGATAGCCATCTCTTGAAGTAGCTATCTTCGTAGCAGAGAACAGATGGGAGTGATTCTTAAAGGGGCTAAATTACCATAGAGATATATTTTGGGAAGCAGTGGGCAGACAGAGATATAGAAGACTTGCAGCAGGCAGCCGCACAAAGCAAACTCACCTTGTGATAATACTTCATCTTGCTTATCTCGAAGCTAAAGTAAACGTATTGGTCACAACTCAGATACATCATGGGGAAGACAGACTTTGCTCCCTCTACTCAGAAAGAGTCAGGACAAAATGAGAGGAAGGTGGGTCTCAGCTAATCCTCAGACTGACATTTTATTTGTGTTCATTATCTTTAAAATAATAATAGCTATTGTTTATCTTTGGTGCTTTTTTCCCCCTGTTGCTGTCCTGTTTACTGATGATGAGAGTTATGACCTCATTTCAATTCTGGGTTTCCTTTCCCTCCCCCACCCCTTTCTAAATCCTGCTATAACTAGAATACAGTTGGGGATAGATAGAGTGATTGAAGTAAAAAAGAAGGATACATGAAACAGGAAAAGTGTCTGCTTTTTCTTTTTCTTTTTGAGATGGAGTCTCTCTGTTGCCTAGGCTAGAGTGCAGTGGTGTAATCTTGGCTCACTGCAACCTCTGCCTCACGGGTTCAAGTGATTATCCTACCCCAGCCTCCTGAGTAGCTGGGGGTTACAGGCACTCATCAACATGCCTGGCTAATTTTTGTATTTTTAGTAGAGACGGGGTTTCACCATGTTGGCCAGGCTGGTCTTGAACTCCTGACCACTTGATCCACCCACCTTGGCCTTCCAAAGTGCTGGGATTACAGGCGTGAGCCACCATACCTGACTAATTGTCTGCTTTCTAATGACATTTTCTATTGGCCCCTTAACAAAAGGGAGAGAGAAATTATTTATGAGATCTGTAGAGACCCCCAAATGAGCTTCCAGTGAAAGAGCTTATGAGAAGAATGAAAACAGCAGTGGAAGCTTAAACAGAGTTTGCAGAGTCAGAATCTCTGTTGAGTTTGAATTCATGAATTTGATTGCTCATGAATTTGCTTTTGTGATCTAAAGATGAATAGCAAGTTTTCTTTCTTAGAAGATTTTCCCCAAGAGCACGGTGTTCCTCATAATAAGCAGGTCAAATCGGCAGGTCCCTCCCCCTTGCTGGTACTTCAGATGGAGTGTGTCTGGAGGCCCTAGCAACATCTAGCAGGTAGGGGATATATGAAGTTAAGTAAAAAAGGCATGTTCTGCACAACAAAAAACTTGTATCTTATGCAAAGTAAATATCAATTCCAGGAAGCAAAAGGGAAATGTTTTGAAAAGATTTGTTCTTACAAAGGAATTAAAAAAACTTTTTTGGTCAGGTGTGGCGGTGCATGCCTGCAGTCCCCAATACTTGGAACTTTTTAATACCTGTTTTTGGGCACAGGAAAATTTATCTCCTGAACTTTGTATAGGTTATATTTCTTATACTAAGCATGAAATACATTCAATTGAAGAGCTTTATAACTATTTATCAAATCCCTACTCTAGGTTTATTATTAAAATTGGTACTTTGGAAAGAGAAGTACAGAATGCTGACATAGTATAGTAGAGACAGAGATGTGGTGCCCGGATTCCTTTTTGAGGAATGTCTTGCTGTTGAGTCGTGGAAGGTGTGGTTGGCAGGTAGCCTTCGACTGTCACCTCCTTTAGGGTCAACCTCATCTGCAGAGAGGCTCTCCACTGAGGTTAACCTCTTAGGGAAGCCCACAGTGGGTGAAGCCTTGGCCACTTTGGCTGGATATGGGAAGTGCTATGGGCATCACTTCTTAATGCAAGTGTTAGGGAGCTCCTGTGCTCCTTACCCAATTAGCCCAGGTTTTGTTGGGTCTGCGTCACCACTCAACTTCTCCCTCTGCCAATCTTGCCTCTTCCTCTTACTTCCCACCAGTTGCTCTCTCAAAAATATCTGGCACCATTAACTTTGTCTCTGCATCTGTCTCCAGAGAATCCAACCTGTAACACCCAGTTATTAATGATTTTGCAAATAATTCAAGAGACAGGACTATTCTCTGTGGTCATTGATGCTGTGGGACAGAATGTAAGTGCTACGATGTATTCAGATGACAGGAGAGAGCTGAGTACTTAAAAAATCGGAGATGACTCCTGGTAGATATGAACTCTTGCCTTAAGATAGTGGAGGGTTAGAAGACAGCAAGGACAGGCAAAGGAAGCAACTTAGCCAAAGCAAGTAGTGAGACTGTGAGAAAGTTGGCCTGGCTACCAAGAAGGCTACATGTTAGGGAAGAGTTAGAAATTGAATTATTAATTTACTTAGGATTAGATCTGACTTTACAAAAGAGAGAAAACCCCAAAATGGATGTTTTCTTCTCTCAAATTAAAAAAAAATCAGAAATTTAGTTTTGATCTTGTTTGAGATCTCTTCCTGTCAATTTATTCATGATTCTGTCTACTTTAGAGTGAAGCCCTTATCAGGATCTAAGATGGCTGCTAGAGATCCAACCATCACATCCAAATTCCAGACAGCAGGATGGAGGATGAGAGAAAGAAGGGCATGTCACATCATTTTAAAGAAACTTATTTTTAATTACTTCTCATTGGTCACAATCCATACATACTGGTAAAGGAGGCTAAAGAGTAACCCTTCAACTAGGCAGCAACATACACAGCTTAAAAGTATTGTTACTTAAAAATTACAATGGAAATGTAGGACCACTCAGATGATGGAAACAAGTGAGACAAAATAATAAAAAAACCTAAAATCTAGTGTCTTGAAAGTGATGGTGGCAGTAAAACATTTCTAGAAATTATAGAGATGAAGAGTTATTTTATATATGTGTGTGAAATGTCAAAAGATTTGGGGCATATTTAGTTGGAGGTTAATATTAATAATCATCTAACATGTGTTGAGGGTTTTCTATGTAACAGGCATTATTTCATATGCTTTGTATCAATCACATTGTTTAATGGAGACTCGCAGGTAGGTTTTATAAATGATTTATTATATATAAGTAAATGGAGATTTTCAGGAAGCAAGACAATTGACTAAGGTCACAAACCTTGTAAATGGTGGAACCCAGCCTCACACTCACGTTTGTCAAACTCCCGAACCCAGTGACTTGCACCATCATTGCTCATATTAGAGCCAGCAAGTGAGACATCAAAAAAGAAATGATGGAACTCAGGAGAGAGTGCAGACCTGGAATTACACGTTGAAATCAGCCAGTTCTCATGAGCACTGAACCATGAGAGCAGAGAACATGAGAGAAGAGAGTCAGGAAGGAGAGACCTCAGGCCGTAGAAAGAGGTGGATGCCAAGTGCTAAGTCTTGGGGATCTTTCTCTCTCTTCCTTCCTTCCTTCCTTCCTTCCTTCCTTCCTTCCTTCCTTCCTTCCTTCCTTCCTTCCTTCCTTCCTTCCTCTCTCTCTCTTTCTCTCTCTCTTTTCTTTCTTCTTTTTTTTCTCCTTCCTTCCTTCCTTCCTTCCTTCCTTCCTTCCTTCCTTCCTTCCTTCTCTCTCTTCCTCCCTTCCTCTCTCTCTCTCTCTCTCCCTCTCCCTCTCCCTCTCCCTCTCCCTCTCCCTCTCCCTCTCTTAGAGACAAGATCTCAAAATTTCACCCAGGCTGGAGTGAAGTGATATGATGATAACTCACTGCAGCCTTGGACTTCTGGTCTCAAGAGCCCCTCCACCTCCACTTCCCAAATAGCTAGGACTAATGTGCACATCATGCCTGACTAATTTTTTAATTTTAAATTGTGGAGATGGGATTTCACTCTGTTGCCCAGACTTATCTCAAACTCCTGGCCTTAAGTGATCCTCCTGACTCAGCCTCCAAAAGTGCTGGGATTACAGGAGTGGGCCACTGTGCTTGGCTCGGTCTTTCTCTTGAAGGAAGAGGAGAAGCAGGGAAGTTGCTGGAGCAGAACCAGGGCAGGATGGTGTCCGGGAGGACCAGGAGAAAGACTTTCTTGAAGATGAAAGAGACAAATGATATCTATAACACAGAAGTTCAGGGAAAAAAAGTTTATTATTTGAGTAGTAAGAGGTCATGCATTGATTATCTTTAGAGTGTTGAAAGAGGATGTGGGACTGGGTAGAGGAAGGTGGATGGAAAATAATGAACAAATAGTTTAAAACTTGTATGGCAATCCCATTGCCAATAATAGCTAATAATAAGAGTTACATATTTATTGTATGCCTTCTCTGTGCCAAGTACTGTTCCAAAGGCTTATATAACTCATGTAACCACAACCCTATGAGATAGCTACTCTTATTATCCTTATTTTACAGATGAGAAAATTGAGACAGTGAGAGAGTAAGAAATCTGTCCAAGGTCTCACTGCTATTAAGTAGGAAAGCTGGGATTGAAGCTCAAACAGTTTGGCTGCTAAGCTCATGCTTAGAAGCCTAGAAAATCCAAAGATTTCTTTAAAAAGTAATGACTTAGCAAAAATCCATATTTATTTTTCTGTTATAAAATCTCAGATATATTTTCATAGAAAATGTTAAATGTACTTAATGATTATATGTTCTTTACTTAAAAAAGTTGTTTTGGAAAGGAATTTGTTTGTTGCATATTTTCCATGTCAGCTCTGACAGGAAACATTATTATTTAAAAAATAAATTCAATTTGAAGTCTTGAAGAAAAATTTACTGCATTTTTACTGGTAACCTTATTGAGAAAACTGAAATAATACATTATGGACCTTAGTAAACATCTCCAAAAAGAAAGAAGGCTTTCTGTCTTCACAGCAAAACATTTTAATAACTATGCACTGAAACAATAATTTTTTTTGTGTCTCGAATTCCTTTATGCCTACAGGCTACTCAATAGAATGTCATTAGAATATCTCGAAGCTATTTGCACATAGTTTGAAGGCTCACCCATCTCCTACACAGTCACATGTTGATTTGGAAAAAATATTTCTATATATAGATAGCTGTGTATCATAGAGTATGGGCAGCATACTGGAATCTAAGGCTTAGAGATTACCAGCCTGCTCAGCGTCTCTGGACCTTTTCAGGTAACCAGATTTATTAATGTCAATGTGTGCTTTCAAAACACTGAGAAATGTTTCTTAAAATGTTTTCACCAGGGATACCACAGATAGGTTTTTAAATAAAACAGTACTGTGATGTTCAAAAACAAATTATTTATGTTTTTAGAATTTGGTGGAAATTAGAACAGGCGGATTTGAAGGGAATAGGTGTGCTTTCCATGTAGACTTATCAGTTAACAAAATCATAACTGAGAGTAGAGCTTCATTATATGGAGAGATG